GAGAGGAAGTGCTAAGCAAATACAGGAACCAAAAAAGGTTATAGAGGCTGCTTCACACTGTCTCATTCAGTTCCTTTGCGGTGCTCTTCTTCAGCACAGACCAAAGCGGTTCCTCACAACCTGTGGCACCAGAGCATCTTGGGTGTGTGACAATGGAAGAGTTGGGTGAGTGAGGAGCTTCCTGGTGGAGAAACTCTGAGGGAATAAAGACCAGGCTGCCATCTCCATGTGTGGTGGGGTGTACTACTAGCCAGATGGAGGGTAGTGCAGGAAGATTTTATTTTCACTTCTCTCCTGACCTCACTAAGAGTAAAGCACGAGGAACTGTAATTGGGGAAATATGGGTTCACTGTTTCTGTGGCACAGAAGGCGGAGAGTTTGGTAAACTCCACACAAATACTTTTGGATTGAATTGTGATTAAAGTGGTCATTTTATTATGAGCATTTGCCCTTTGGGGGCTACTGGAGATCATAGAGTGATCACACGGTAGGCAATGGTAAAGATGTGATTTGAGGAGAAAAAGAAAGAAATGAGTGTTTTGAGGAGAAGGAAAAAAAGTACAAGAATGAGGGATTCACAAAGATTGGAGAGAAGCCAGGGTGGTTTCAATTGTTCTAGGATTTAGTATTAAATCAAGACAACAGAGCACTAATAACTCCAGGGATTTTGTTGCTCAGCTTTTTATTCAGAGGAACTTTGAAGGAACAGATTTCTATGGCCTGCAAGTGTAATACCTCCTTCCATTCCAAAGCAATAAAAACCAGCAGTGAAATTATTGGCCATGTTGCTCAAGAGAGATCTCTGATTTCAAGCCTTTGGAGTAACATAAGATTTATCATTCTTGGGAATGCATTCCATATCCTTTGCCAACGTTTGTTGCCAACAGCCTTACTAACACTGAGTCACTAACCCAGTTTCCAAGCTGTATTAATTACACGGTGTCCTGGGTTTTTGTATATTTGGGGCATGTCAAAAGTGCAAACAATGACCAAAAACATATTTTACATATTGTCTTTTTTAAAAATTGTTTAGAGTGTAATTTGAGAGTTGGAGGAGTAGAGGAAGGAAGGCAAATTGCAGGAGGGAAGAGGAAAAGGTGGTGTTTGATAAATATGTATTGAACTGTTTTGGAGGTAAAGTCTATTTGGATACTTGGGGTAGAATCCAAATTCTTATCTTGCGTGAGGGTTGGGGAATTTCCTATTTCTACCTGAGTTCCACTAGAGTTCAGCTCTGCTTTTTTATGTTAGGGATACCTAATGGCCTTTATGCAGATAATTAAAAAAGCAAGTAATACTTTTTGTGGTCACTTAAACTAAAACTAGACACTTTTACATATGTTAACCATTTTAGCAATCCACTAAAATGGGTATTATCCACATTTTTTTTTAAATGAGAAAACTAAGAAAAGCAAAATAACTATTTCAGTGACACCAAAATGGATCAAGCTACAAGCTATTCTCCTATTTTAGAAATGTGTTGGCTCAGATGTTCTGGCTGACAGAATAACCTAGGTAACAAAAACATGAAATGAAAAGATTTGCACAGCTTTGCATTTCTTAAGCAGGAAAAATTATAGAGAAATCTGGTCCAGAAATGTAGAAGGAACCACACAGCTTGGAGGGTAACATTCCTGTTGATGATTCAGGTGGCTAAACCTCTTCTTCAAATTGTCGTCAGCCCAATTGCTACCCTAATAACTTAGGATGGGTCTCTTCCTGCTGGGGAGAGGTAGCATGAAGGGCAGGTTGGCACAGGTATGCCTGTATTTCCTCTTTGCGTCTTTCTTACACAGGGATACTAGATAAAGAGAAACCAAGAGCAAACTCTGGCTCTGAATGAAATCATTACAATCCAATGAGACCCCCAAGAAACCTTGCTTTACAAATCTTTTCATGTTAATACCGATGAGTATTTGATTTCTGCAGATGAAGGGCTACAGAGAAGGACTGTAGAATTTTCAGTCTAGTATCCCCCACCACCAGTCATCCCATATTTGTCATACTGAAATTAGTCATCTTCAAATTACGGAATCTGGCAAAAGGCAAGATGATCTTTGGGTGTTGATGATACGTGCACTCAGGAAACAGGAAGAGAAGGGCCTGTTAGCTCCTGACCCAGAAAGAGAGTTGCAATAACTTTAGCGAGCAGGTCCTTCTAAGGGTAACCTTCTACTCTTAGTGGTATGGTTTGTTTCTCTTGTAAATGGTATCTCCTCTCTCCTAATCTTTATTGTAAACTAGTGGCCTGGTGCACGAAAATTCATGCACTCGGGGTGGGGGGGGGTCTCTTAGCCCAACCTGCACGCTCTCACAATCCGGGACCCCCTCGGGTAGGGTCCAGACCCATCGCAGCATGGCTCTGGTTCCCTGGGCCTGCAGGCAGGGGGGAGGGACCAAGAGGCCAGTCTGATCACAGCATGGATCCAATTCCTCAGAGCCTGTGGGCCGGGGTAGGGACCAAGAGGCCAGTCTGATGGCAGCATGGCTCCATTCCCACAGCTTCCTCCCGTGGGTGGCCAGGAACCAGGACTGACTCCTGCCGCGCCAGCCGGGACCCTAGCCTGGTGTTCAGTCATCCATCTGGATGTTTAGGTCATGACAGATCCTTATAAATTAGGATGCCTTTTTATTTTGAATCTAAGAGGACCCATGACTTCTAGTTAGAGAAAAGGTTAGAAATAGAAAAGAAAGGGGCTATATCTTGATGGATATAGACTAAAAATTTGGAACTCAAAAATTTGGAATTCAGTCTGACTGTATGAGAAAAGAAGTTTTGCTTTTTCTTTCTACCTCAGTTTTTGTTTTATTTTTTCTTCTGTAAAAATCTTTTAATATAGAGAATTTAAGAATATGCAAAAGTAAAGAAAATAGTTTAATGAAATCTGATGTACCCCTCAACCAGTTTAAACTATCAAGTCTTGGTCAATCTTTTTTCATTTATAGACCCACCCATTCCTTTAATAACTGTATTATTTTAAAACAATCTCAGATATTAAATAATTTCATCTGTAAATATTTCATCATACTCTCTAAAATAAATCTATACATACTTACACAAATAACCATAATACCATTATCACACCCAAAAAATCTTTAATAGTAATTCCTTAATATTATGAAATACCATTATCACACCTAAAATATTAACAGAAATAATCAAATATTCTTATCATACCCAAAATAAATTAATAGTATGTACTTAGTATTATTAAATATCTACTCAGTGTTTAATATTCCTGATAGTTTATTTTTTGTTTGCTTGTTTACTTTACTTTTATCCTCAGATTATTTTAAGTTAAGATTCATATACTAAAATTAGTTATGTTTCTAAAGTCCTTTTTAATCTATTGGTTCACTCTCCATCTCTTTATTCATTAAAATTTATTTGTGAAGGGTAATTTTCCCTGAAGAATTTAGCCCAGTTTGCTTCTCTCTAAAGTGGTGTATAAAATTCAGTCCTTTTGTGAGATGGATGATTTAGAAATATATGTAGATTTTCTATTAAATTTATTGCAGTGACATTAGTTAATAAAATTATATAATTTCAAATGTACAATTCTGTAATACATCATCTGTGCATTGCATTGTGTGTTTACCACCCAAAGTCAAATATCCTTCTGTCCCAATATATTTGACCCCCTTTACCCTTTGCTACTTCCTCCCACCCCGTTACCCTCTGGTAACCACCATATTGTTGTCTGTATCTATGAGTTTCTGTTGTTTGCTTGTCTTGTTTGTTCATTCGTTGCTTTCAGTTTTACATTTCACATATGAAAGATCTATAGCTTTCATTTTAAAGAAATGATTAGATCTTTTTTTATGCCATCAAGAAGTATTCATCCCTCCAATATCTGAAATAAATGATAATCTTTTTTTTCATAATGTGTGAAGTTCATTTTCTTCATCTGAGGACTTCCAAGGTAGGCATATACTTAGAAACAATATAATCCAGTGTTTTGCAAACTTTTAAAAACTACAACCTGTGGTAAGGAAACCACTAGAGAATCACTAATGGGTGTTGATCCACAATTTGAAAAGTATTATCCTATATAATAAAGAGCTAATATGCAAATGGTTGTCATGCCATCACGCCATCATGCTGGGGCCAGAGTATCTGAGGCTGGGCCGGGGAACCTGAGGCTGTACCCCCCGCCCTGGGGCCGGGGGACCTGAGGCCACACCCTTGCCCTGGCCCCAGTGACAGGGGACCTGAGGACATGCTGGGGGACCTGAGGCTGCGCCTGCCTGGCGGGGGTGGGGCCAGCCAGGTTTGGGTCTCGCACAATTTCGAGGCATGTGTGCGTGGGCAGGGACTTTACTCTGGGTCCCAGGGTGTGCCCCAGACTCTGACAGGAGGGAGATTTTCATATACATTTTACTAATTTTCTTTCATCACTGACACTTCTATTATAGAGAAAGGGCAAATAGCAATATTAAAATATTTTCTCTCGCCAAAACTGGTTTGGCTCAGTGGATAGAGCATCGGCCTGCGGACTGAAAGGTCCCGGGTTCTATTCTGGTGAAGGGCATGTACCTGGATTGCGGGCACATCCCCAGTAGGAGATGTGCAGGAGGCAGCTGATCGATGTTTCTCTCTCATCGATGTTTCTAACTCTCTATCTCTCTCCCTTCCTCTCTGTAAAAAATCAATAAAATATATTAAAAAAAATAAAAATAAAATAAAATATTTTCTCTAATTAATTCCCTTTTAAGGTGCATGAATTTCATGCACCAGGCCTCTAGTTGTACTATAATTGCTTAATTATGTAGATGAACAAATAGCTTCAGAGAAGAACATGTCATGCCCAGATGACCCAGAGAATCCATGTGAGAATGAGGTCTGGAATTTCTGGCTTGAAGTTAGTGCAGGGGTTGGGGATCAGACAGCCAGGTTCTGAACACAGTAACAGTGTGAACTCAAACAATTTATTTGGTAATTTCTTGAACTACAAAATAAGCATAATAATGTCATCTGCTTCAAAGAATTAAGATAACTAAATTAAATATATAAACCTTAATTTTTATTAATTGTTATTAATTTCATCATAACAGAAAGGTAATATTGTAATACTTGAAGTCAGAGTCCATTGTTTGTTCCTAAGAAAATATAAGAGAAACAATCAACTATTTGGACTGTAAAATCTTGTTTGATTTTGTAATATCTGTATTTTTCCCCCCAATTTCCTTTTCTCCCCATACTCTAAAAAGACAGAATACTTATATTCTCCTTTGAGAATTTGGTTATGTGCTTGGGATATAAGAAAAAAAATCATCAAGGTTAAGAATAAATGTTACTATCCTGGTATATTTTTAAAAACTGTAGTGTAATTGCTCATATTTTTCTGATAGGAAAACTATTTAGAATTTACTTTTTTTCTAAGTGGGAATCTTTATGAGTGATTCACCCCAAATAAATGACAAAAATTAATACCCTGCAATAAAATAAGCCAAATTATAGAGTGAGACTATGGAATTGAATGCAGCCATAGGAAATAAGAAATAGGCCACAGGATATGGAGGTTTTGAACATCTTTTAGCCAGGATATGGAGGCTTTAAACCACATTCTAGAAGTAAAATACGGAGGAAGGGAAGATGTTTTAAGGAAAATAGCCTTAACCCAAGAGAAGAGGGAGATGAATGGGGGTGCAGGCGGAGCAATATAAGAGGAAAATTATTTCAGAAGACTTCCGTGTTCTATACTATGATTCCCTTGTGTGTTATGATATAGATGCTTTATTGGAGGAATTGGAACGCTCTACCCTCCAGGACAGTGGTGAATACTCCAACCCTGCTCCTCTTCCCAAGGATCAGTATTCCGGAAAAGAGAGTGCTGAGACTTCAGACATCCCTTCTGTTCAGGATGACACAAGCCCCTTGCAGGTAACTTTTCATTTATTCGAGTGCCTTGACTACAGATGTTTGAGTGTTTTCTGAATATGAATTGCATCCTACACAAAATAATGTGAAAGGACAATTATATATCCAAGAAAGAGAAGAAAATCCCTCTAAGATAACTTAAAAGTGCTCTCCCTGCTGTTCCTTCTACTTGGACCACGTTACTCCTGCTATCTTCAAACTTTTCTCACCTCCTCCTATCAGTCCTTGCTCGAGAGTCCCCTTCTCAGTTAATCCTTCCCAGGTCAATTTCTTTCTCTCTCTCTCTTTCTTTCAAAATTTTTTTTTCAATTATAGTTGACATTTAATATTATATTAGTTTTGAGTGTACAGCATAGTGGTTAGACAATTTTATAACTTTTGAAGTGATTCCCCCCCCCCCCATAAGTCTAGTATCCACCTGGCACCATATATAGTTATTACTATAGTATTGACTGTATTCCCTGTGCTGTATTTTACATCCCCATGACTATTTTGTAACTTCAATTTGTATTTCTTTTTCTATTAGGCTTTTAATTTTTTTCAATTACAGTTTACATTCAATATTATTTTGTATTAGTTTCAGGTGTATAGCATAGTGGTTAGACAATCATATACTTTACAAAGTGTTCCCCCTGATATTTCCAGTACCCATCTAGCACCATATATAGTTATTACAATATTATTGACTATATTTCCTATGCTGTACTTTACATCCATGTGACTATTTTCTAACTAGCAATCTGTACTTCTCAATCTCTTCACCGTTTTCACCCAATCTCCCAACCCCCCTTGCTTCTGGCAACCATCAGTCTGTTCTCTGTATTTATAAGTCTGTTTCTATATTGATTGTTCATCTCTTTTGTTCTTTCAATTCCACATATAAGTGAAATTATATGGTATTTGTCTTTCTCTAACTGACTTATTTCACTTAGCATAATACCCTTTAAATTCATTCATGCTGGCCAAGTAATATTCGATTGTATATATGTACTACCACATTTTCATCCACTCAGCTATTGATGGGCACTTGAGTTACTTCCATCTCTTGGCTATTACAAATAACGCTGCAATGAACATAGGAGTTCTTTTGAATTAGTGGTTTGTATTTCTTAAGATATATACCCAAAGTGGAATCACTGGATCATAAGGCAGTTTCATTTTGAATTTTTTGAGGAACTTTCATTCTGTTTTCTACAGTGGCTGCACGAATCTGCATTCCCAGAGGGTTCCCTTTTTTTGTCTACATCCTCATCAACACTTCTTGTTTGTTGATTTATTGATGATAGTCATTCTGACAGATGTGAGGTGATATCTCATTGTGGGTTTTTTTAAAAACATTTTATTTATTTCAGAGAGGAAGGAGAGGGGGAGAGAGAGAGATAGAAACATCAATGATGAGAGAGAATCATTGATTGGCTGCCTTCTGCATGCCCCACACTGGAGATTGAGTCCACAAGCCAGGCATGTGCCCTTGACCAGAATTGAACCTGGGACCCATCAGTCCGCAGGCTGATGCTCTATCCACTGAGCCAAACCAACCAGGGCCTCATTGTGGTTTTAATTTGCATTTTTTTTTTATGTTTAGTGACATTGAGCATCTTTTCATATATCTATTGGCCATCTATGTGTCCTTGTTGGAGAGGTATCTATTCAGTCCATTGCCCATTTTTAAAATTGGATTGTTTGTTTTTTTTGTTGAGTTGTATGTGTTATTTATAAATTTTTGATATTAACCCCTTATTAGATCTACCATTGGCTAATACATTCTTTCATTCAGTGGTGTTCTTATCATTTTCTTGATGGTTTCCTTTGCTGTGCAAAACCTTCTTAGTTTGATATAGTCCCATTTAGTTTTTCTTTTGTTTCTCTTGCCTGGGAAAATAGATCAGAAAAAAATATTAATAAGAGAAATTTTAGAGATTTTATCGCCTATGTTTTCTTCTAGGATTTTTATGGTATTAAGTCCACTTGTATTTCTTAAGCTCTTCAGCTTTTTTACCCATCTCCTCAGCACTCCTCCCATCTGGCAAACATCAGTTTGTTCTTTATATCTATGAGTCTGTTTTTGTTTTCTTTGCTTATTTTGTGTTTTTTAAAAATATATTTTATTGATTTTTTTACAGAGAGGAAGGGAGAAGGATAGAGAGTTAGAAACATCGATGAGAGAGAAGCATTGATCAGCTGTCTCCTGCACACCCCCTACTGGGGATGTGCCTGCAACCAAGGTACATGCCCTTGACTGGAATCGAACCTGGGACCCTTCAGTCCGTAGTCCGATGCTCTATCCAGTGAGCCAAACCAGCTAGGGCTGCTTATTTTGTTTTTGAGATTCCACATATGAATAAAATCATATGGTATTTGTCTTCCTCTGTCTGACTTATTTCACTTAGCATATTATTCTCTAGGTCTATTTGTGTTGTTGTAAACAGTAAGATTTAATTCTTTTTTATGGTGATGAATATATTTATAATTGCCATTTCTTCTGCATTTTCTATCTCCCACCCCTGATTGATATTACATGTTCATTAATTTATTTTTAGATATTAATTTGTTTATTATCTGTTTCTCACAATGTAAATCCAGGCTAGACAATTTTTGTTTATTTATTTTTTGGTTTTTGGTTTTTTGATGGCTACATCTCTAGCCCTGACACATGACAGGCTCTCAATAAATATTTGTTCAACAAATAAATGAGTTGTTAGCCAACTACCCTTTAGAGTCACACATTATTTCTTTTTTAAAAATATATTTTTATTGATTTCAGAAAGGAAGAGAAAGGGAGAGATAGAAACATCAATGATGAGAGAGAATCATCGATTGGCTGCCTCCTGCACGCCCCCTACTGGGGATTGAGCCCGCAACCCTGGGCATGTGCCCTTGACCGGAATCGAACCTGGGACCCTTTGGTCCACAGGCTGATGCTCCATCCACTGAGCCAAACCAGCTAGGGCACATTCTTTCTTTAGGTATGCTAATTTTAATCATGTTATGGTCTATAAAGGGACTTTGCTTATTTTGTTGTTTTATGATTTTTGTCTGAGTACTTCTCTAATTCAGTGCTTTTAGGGCAGGGAGAGGGTCACTATTTATTCACATGGCAGCTATTCTACTTAGAATTTGGCCTTTCTCTGTGAGATGGCTGGTATTCCTCTGCCTTATAAAAGGATATCTCAGAGACATGCTAGTCATCAGTCTCCTTTAGAATCTAAAAACATTCTTTAATTCTGGGTGTAGATAAGCACCAAGATTTCACTAACAGAAATCCATTCTGTCACTCTGTCTTAGGTGCAGCTCGTGTATACTACTAATATCGAGGAGCCCCACGTCTACAGGTATTTTTTTTTAAAATATATTTTATTGATTTTACAGAAAGGAAGAGAGAGAGATAGAGAGTTAGAAACATCAATGAGAGAGAAACATCGATCAGCCGCCTCCCGCACATCTCCTACTGGGGATGTGCCCGAAACCCAGGTACATGCCCTTGACCGGAATCGAACCTGGGACCTTTCAGTCCACAGGCCGACGCTCTAGCCACTGAGCCAAACCGGTTTTGGCTCTACAGGTATTTTTTAATATTAAATTCTTAAGCAAAGTTATTAGATAGTTGTTGTCAATCTGTGTTTGGACAATACTTTGCTTGGAACTCCTACTGCTCTCCTTTTCTTTCCATAGTTTTTGAGCAAAGCTGGAATGGTTTCTGCTCTTTCCTTCACCACCTGAAAAAGTGTAAATAGTTCTAATCATCACAGATGCTTTGGCCCAGCTATTCCAAGTCACAGAAGAAAAACACCAAATGAATTTTCAGCAAGACATTAACAAATTCAGAGCTAGGCCCGAGCCAATTTGATTCAGTAGATAGAGCATTGGCTCTCAGACTGAAGGGTCCTGAGTTCAATTCTCATCAAGGGCACGTACCCAGGCTGCAAACTTGATCCCCGGCATGTGCTGGAGGCAACCAATCCAATCAATTTGTCTCTCTGACATCAATGTTTCTCTCTGTCTCCCCCTCCCTCCATTCTCTCTAAAAATCAATGGGAAAATTGGGTGAGGATTTTTTAAAAAGAGCTAGTTTCAGAGTTGAACTAAGAGATTGGGTCTCCATGGCAGACTAATGAATATAGACTTCTTTTCATATTTGCTCAAAATTTATTTAGCAGATGGAGAGATTGCTTTTTTACAAAAGTTACAGATTGGAACAGATTCATTTACTAAATAATTTCTACTGGCCAAAGCAGAATTGGCAGCCTGTTAAAAAAAAAAAAAAAAAAGACCACTTTTCTTGTTCTCTTTTCAGTTATGGCTTGAAATTTAAAAAGTCAGACAACATTCTGGAAAACAAAATAAAAGCCTTAAAATGTAGATAGTAAAGGCTCATACTTGGTAAAGAATACTACGCCACACCTTATTTGGTTTCAGAATTGCAGCCAATAGTGCACACATGATGCTAAATAAGGAAAGGACCTATGCTATCAAAAAGTCTTTTTATAGCTTTGCACTTGAGGACACTTTCTACTGTAATGGGAGGAAGGCCAATTTATTAATACAATTGTCAGTGTGTTCCAGTTCCAGTGGTCATGCCCCTTTGTAAAAAGCAAACAAAGCAAAACAACAACATCAAAAACAGTGCCTGGTACAT